TAAACTGCTCTGGGACATCTTTGGGTAGTGAAGGGTGGGGTATAAATCCAATCTCCTCCTCCTCCTCCTTCTCTGCTTTGCCTCTCCTGTGGTAACAACTTCTGTGTCTCTATCAAGAAAATTTTTTGCATCAGTGCTGGCAAAACAGAAAGGCTAGGGTTCTGGGGCTCCGTCAGAGATAGCAGAGTGGGAGACGTCTGACTCGTACCAAGGTTACAATGCGCTGGGAAGTCCCCCTGTGCAGTTCCCTTTTCAATTAACGAGATCTGCTCTGTATTAATTAGCGTGTGTATGCCAAGGTGACATTGGATTGGGGGGGGGGGGCTTAGGTATCAACATTTTGGGGCTGGCACTGTTCTGTATGCCATGCTGATGTGAAAGCCCCAGGACTGGGGCCAGTAAATATGTTTGTAACCTTAGGAATACTTTTGCTGTGAAAGAAAAACCCTTTTTATTCCCTGGGTACTTTGGTGCAAGAAATGGGTGCTCATAATCTACCCCTCCCCCAAAAAAGTAAAGGAGAGAAGATTCTGGAAGCAGCTGAGCTTTGCTGTGAGGAGGCCGCTGTTTTTGCTTATTGTTTTGGCCGCATTTTAACTGTCTACATGAGCATCCTTGTGGTACAGTGAGAAAGCACTCACCTTGAAAAGACCTGGGGGGAAACGCAAATCAACTAAATCTAAAAAAAAATATTACTAAAAGTGGTGCAGGCAAGGTGAGAGGAAATTGTGTCTCTTGTCATCAATGATGTCACGGGCACTATCCAATCAGTACCTGAGAAGACACTTAACCACTTTAACATACAGCAATCTCAGCAACACTGGATGTGCTGGCTGGGAAGGCCAGATTACCTCAATTTCCCCAGCAACACCTCTGTTTCCTTTTCAGTGCAGGGAAAATGAGATTTCCTAGCAAATATGGAAATATGGAAAATAAATAATCTGTTTAAGCCCAAATAAAGAGACTTGAACACTCCATGGTCTCCCGGCATTAAGATTTTGCCTCTTCTGGGATCGCTTAAGAGAAAACTCAGTTGCTGACTGGAATCTCAGATCTTGCAAAGAGACTGAGATTTTCCTGCCTGTCACCCACACCACCGCAGCCCTGTCGCCATGGCAACTGCTAGATTACTTTGCCTCATCCAGACTGGTTTCGGATTCTTCCCAGCTGGGGACCACTCCAGCACTCCAGCTGCCTATCACTTCTTTGGACCTTCCCAGCGAACGAGTTGCTCAAGTGTGAGGAGAAAAAACATTGTTTTAGTCAGGCCTAGTTAGATCTTGTTCGAAGTTTGCTATTTTAGATCTGGGCACAAGAGTTTAAGAAAGGTGCCAGCAGCAAAATCAGGGGAGAATCCCTCAGATGACAAAGGGGTGGAAAAGACAAATCGACAGAACAAAGGAAGTGGAAGCGAAAGGAGCCTGTTTAAGCTTAGGGCCATGGTTTCCAAAACCTCATCCTTAGGATTCTTCTTCTGCAATACATCGGGATTCCGCGAGAGAAGCGCAGGGTTTACTCAGCCAAGAAATCGATGTGGAAAGAGGCCCCCTGAGGGTAGGAAGTGTGAAAAGATTGTGGGAGAGCAGCGTATGTGACAGTTGTCAATTATTTATAGAATGTCATAAAGAGCCGGAGCAATCGTCCATCCTGTTTGCTAAGGAGCAGGGTAAGAATCCATGGGATGAATTGCCAGATGACTGGATTTTTGCGTGGATGTGGGTGGGTGTGCAAGAAATGAGCAGTTGTGGATTATTCATTGCACAGGATCTTTCCAGGCACCTATGTTCAAAGCAGTAGGTCTGTTGCGGGGTTAGTTTGTTTTGCCAGCATTCAAAAAGATCAGTATTTTGTCCTTGGGAGGGGGGAGAAATTCTTCCTTCACCAGTGCCAACAATTACGGATTCAAGTGTTATGTGATGTATGATTGGGCAAGTATGTCAGGTAGGTAATGGATATCTCCTGTGACATCACTAAGACATGATTTCTCCCATCCATGATGTCAGGATCATTCTATTACCTTTTATTCTGGGACCTTTTTGGAAATTATTATGTTTCTTTTTCACTTAATGTTATATGTATATAGCACGGGAGGGCTTCATCTAGTCTTTCTATGTATCTCACACTGGTAAAACTATCTCCCCTCCAGCAATGCCCCTCAGTTTCATAGCGTTTTCTTTCTTTGAAGACTGTTCTCCCATTTTTTGGAATAATTTCCCCATGAGATATCTATCCTAGATAATCAATCTAGGATAGCTTCCCTCTTTCAAAGTATCAACTGATAGGTGTCATTCACAGAAAATAACAATTGTTAGCATACACAGGGGTTGTTTCCTCAAAACAGAGGGGCCTTCTTTAACCTTCTCTGTAGAGATCCGAACAAGTAATGAAGAAGACAACAGGCCTTATTTTAAGGGGTATCCCTTATTTTAAGAGAGTGTTGTGTGTCGGAGATCATCACCATCTATATAAAACAAAATGGATTTTATTGCAGACCATCCGAGCACAGGGGTGGAAGACTCAAAGCTCCTATATATGCTTTATTTTTACATTTTTGATCTATACTGTCTGGTTCAAATTAGTCAAGCAAACAGAGGGGGGTGCAGTATGATATGGATGCACACAGAATAGAATTACTGCAACCAGTGCATATAACAAACATGTATTAACTATATTAATGCTTTTACAAATTGTATTCACAGAAAGATAAAGCCAATATTAATAAAGATGGATGGATGATGAGACGAACTCCCCCGGAGTTGACATTCGTTTCGATGATACGTCTTTTTCACATCAGGCTGATCGGCCCGTATTTGTTATTATGCTTGAGAACATCTTATGAATAACTTCACTATGTATTGGGAGTTAAGAAAGAATCAGTTTTGGGAGACCCATGTCCTTATGAAGACACATTTGCTTGATGTGAAAAAGACGTATCATCGAAACAAATGTCAACTCTGGGGGAGTTTGTCTCATCATCCATCCATCTTTATTAATATTGGCTTTATCTTTCTGTGAATACAATTTGTAAAAGCATTAATATAGTTAATACATGTTTGTTATATGCACTGGTTGTAGTGGTTCAAATTAGTCAGCCAAAACATGCCCCTCTGTGCCTGCTTTCTCTTGGGGCATTTCTACACTAACCATTTTATTTATTTATTTATTTGTTCAACTTTTATCCCGCCCTTCCGCCGAAGCGGCTCAGGGCGACTCACAGCATTAATAAAACCAACATGAATAAAACATCAGTCCATAAAACAACTTTACATAAATACAATAAATATAAGTAAAAGTGTTTCAGTAAATCATTACAATTAGACATCGACCACATTGTTCACTACTTATACAGAATACATATCTTAGCAGGTCGGCACTCTTGGCTGGCATACCGTCGCTCTCACTGGTATGCCCGGCGGAAAAGCTCTGTCTTCACGGCCCTGCAGAATTGCTGGAGATCTCGCAGGGCCTGGATCTCACTAGGGAGCTCATTCCAATATGCTGGTGCAGCTAGCAAAAAATGCTCTAGACCTAGTTGTTGTCAACGAGGGATGCCAGCCTCCTAAAAATAAAATTAAAAAAATTAGGGATGCCATCCTCCAGGTAGAACCTGCAGATCCCCCAGAATTACAGCTCATCTCCAGACTGCAGAGATCAGTCCCCCTGGAGAAAACAGATGTCTTGGAGGGTGGACTCTGTGGCATTGTACCCCACTGAGGTCCCCGTCCTTCCCAGTCTCCATCTCCAAATCTCTAGGAGTTTCCCAGACTGGATCTGGCAACCCTACCCCCAAAGCTTCCGAAGGTGGTCTGGGGGGACCTGGCAACCCTAATTTTAATTGTGCTATTATCATGCTTTCCCCAAAGGAACATTTGATTAGAGGGGCCTAGTCTTGTCAAAGAACTACAATTCCCAGAGTTCCCTGAGTGAGAACTCTTACTAATGTATATAGGGAATTCTCTCTGCACTCAAAAACGTATTGATAAAGATGTCAAATTTCCCCATTTCAGTGCTTAACTATGCTTGGGATTTAAAAAAAAACACAGTTAAACTAGTTATTAATGTTCAGTAACTTAACTTGAGTACCAAACACTTGACAGCAAATGTCTCTGAGGTGGTGTGCTATCTTGTAAAACCACGTGAAGAATTTCATCCATGTGAGTGAGGGGTTTTTTTTCTGGTATGGTAGTTCCACTGAGGCGAATTGTTAAACAAAGTTTAAATTTGGTTAAAAACATTTTTGAAATTGAAACCTGAAGTGTTGAACTTAATTCTTGCCAATAGCATTCAAAGATGATAAAAGTTAAGGTAACTTAACCTGAGTACCAAACACTTGACAGCAAATGTCTCTGAGGTGGTGTGCTATCTTGTAAAACCACGTGAAGAATTTCATCCATGTGAGGGTTTTTTTTTCTGGTATGGGAGTTCCACTGAGGCGAATTGTTGAACAAAGTTTAAATTTGGTTAAAAACATTTTTGAAATTGAAACCTGAAGTGTTGAACTTAATTCTTGCCAATAGCATTCAAAGATGATAAAAGTTAAGGTAACTTAACCTGAGTACCAAACACTTGACAGCAAATGTCTCTGAGGTGGTGTGCTATCTTGTAAAACCACGTGAAGAATTTCATCCATATGAGGATTTTTTTCTGGTATGGGAGTTCCACTGAGGCGAATTGTTGCACAAAGTTTAAATTTGGTTAAAAACATTTTTGAAATTGACACCTGAAATGTTGAGCTTAATTCTAGCCAATAGCATTCAAAGACAATAAAAGTTAAGACTGTGCTTTTGTGAAAACAAACAGAAAGACTCCATCTTTCACAGTGTCTGTGAATGTAAACAATACTTTGCTTAGGAAAATGTCAATCTGGATATTCACAGGAAAGTTTAAGTTAATGGAATTTTCAGATCAGGGAATTTTGGGAAACTGGGCTTCCAGAAGCTAAGGTTTTTATGTTCGCCTAACTTTTCTCTTTTTGCTTTTCTCCCCACCCCCCTTCACAGATTCAAAGCAGAATGGTGATGCAGCCAATGCAGCATTAGCCAACGAAGACTGCCCCACCATTGACCAGGCCCTGTCACCTGAAGAGAAGTCGCCTGTCACGCCTGGTGGCCGGGAGCGCTACAACCGTGACCGAGCCTGCTTCCTCCTCTCCACGGGTGACTTTGGGCAGTCGCCTGATGGGAACATCCGAAAAGGTACAAGCAACATACATGTGCATCATTTTTGGCCTGCCTCGTTTGCAAAGGCATGAACCATAACCTCTAAACATATATTCCAAGTATGACATCTTCCCCACCCTGTCCATAATCCTCACCTTCCCAAAATCTAGCATTGCTGCCATTCTGAGGAGAAAAAAAAGGGGCCAATATGCATATATTGGTTTACTTGAATATGAGCCTAATATTGGGGCCAATCTGCAGGAAACAAGACAGGGAAAACGAAAGGCGAGTTCAGAGTATGGAGCAGATGGTGTCCTAGCAACCGCTTGTCCTCCATTTTCTCACTTTTACCTCTTTAGCAATGGCATGCATTGGTCATGGAATACTGCCCTCTATAATCTCTTTTAAAAGGGCAACCCAATGGCATGATCTCTTTGAGTGTCTTTGTAGGGAGGGGAAAGCAACTCCTGCCTCCCAACATGCCCTGGTCTTACCCATTATTTTCACAACCTCCTAGACCATCAGTTCAACCATGTTACACTTCCTGTGCATACACACTCCACACTCCATTTACCTTGTCCTCCTCTACATAGGTATGCTTTCCTAGTCTATGTTTAGTGTCCTCTGAACTGTACCGCTCCACCATACTCCCTCCTTGTATGTGTTTCATTCTGTTTTGTAGTATACCAGAGTTCTTCATCTCCCTGATGCAGCCATTTTGAAGGAAAGGGACTCCAAGGCTCCCAACATGCCCTGGTCTTACCCATTATTTTCACAACCTCCTAGACCATCAGTTCAACCATGTTACACTTCCTGTGCATACACACTCCACACTCCATTTACCTTGTCCTCCTCTACATAGGTATGCTTTCCTAGTCTATGTTTAGTGTCCTCTGAACTTTACCGCTCCACCATACTCCTTCCTTGTGTGTGTTTCATTCTGTTTTGTAGTATACCGGAGTTCTTCACCTCCCTGACACAGCCATTTTGAAGGAAAGGGACTCCAAGGGCAGCAGTTTGTGTACCGGAAAAACTTAATTTGTGATGATTGTGAGGGTATGACGTGGTCGTAGCATATTAGGAAGCTTTTCTCCCCTTCTGCTGTCGGGCTCCCCAAATTAGATAGTAGGAACCAGATGACTTGAGTTCAAATTTCTGCTGAAGGAAAAAATTATTTGAAGAGCTTCAGTGGATTATTCTGCTGTAAATTCCCCATATGAGAAACAGGAAAATAGTAAGCTACCTGCCAGGATCGTTGTAAGAAAAACTTGTTCCTACTCTTGAGTTCTGAGCAGGGTGGTTGGCTGTGAACCTATCAAATCTACCTCAGTTAGAAAAATACAGTTTCAGAATTGGGTGCAGAAACTGTTTAGTGGGGATGTGAACCCCTGTATATGGTATCCTTCCCCCTTGCCTCCAGCACCTTCTGGACAACTGTTTATGATTCTGAATATTGAACTGGAATTCAGTAAGGAAGTCAAGGCAGGGGTGAAATTGGAGCAGGATCCAGAGATGCTGTGTAGGATACTGTGAACCTATCAAATCTACATCAGTTAGAAAATACAGTTTCGGAATTGGGTGCAGAAACTGTTTAATGGGAATGTGAACCCCTGTATACGGTATCCTTCCCCCTTGCCTCCAGCACCTTCTGGACAACTGTTTATGATTCTGAATATTGAACTGGAATTCAGTAAGGAAGTCAAGGCAGGGGTGAAATTGGAGCAGGATCCAGAGATGCTGTGTAGGATATGAACCTTCTGCACCCAAGCACTGAAAGCTCGCTCTGCATCATAGTGTTCAGGCTTTGAGGGTTTCTCTGTGCATTTATGTTATTTCTGTAATGAGGACCAGGAACTTTTTTTCTTTTCTTTTTCAAAAAAGGAAGATGAAAAGAGCCAAATTCTTTGCAATACTGTTTCAGGTTTGGGGAGGGAGTAACCCTTTGAGCAGTGTGTTTTATTACAGGTTAGTAAGCCTGGATGGTTATCACAATAATCAGTTCTAATTAGGATTACCATTAAAATATGTTAGAGTAAGGGGAAGAAAACCCTTTTAAGCCACACTTTAGTCATCTCAGGTACACAAATAGAGCAGGGTAATATTTGATTTCTTGTTTACTGCAGGAATTAACACTGGAAATGTCCTTATAGTTTATAATTTTCTCTTTTATTACTGCCAGTGCAGCGTTTGATCCGATTTTTAGTACTGTTGGAAGATTCACTAGAGGATTTTACGGGACCTAACGTCTCCTGAATCCCCCGCTTCTTAATCTGTAGTTATATTCTAACCTAGGTGAGAGCTGATCTTAGGTTTGCCCATCTCACTGCTGAAGGGTGTAGGGGAATATATGATCTCCCCAAACAAGAATCCACAACAGTGTGGCTTGTGTGTTGTGTAACTGCTGGTCTAGCATCTGTCAGGAGCTGATCTTAGCAGCAGGCAAGCTCTTGAACAGGGACAAGGTTGCGTATGTCACAGCAGGGGAACAGGAAAGCTGCAGCAAATGAAAGCCAGCGAGGTATTTACTTCCACCGAGGACAGATGTTGGAGGTGTCACACAGCAGGGGAAATCAGCAAGAACCAGGCAAGGAGCAGGTCCAGAGAGCTCCAGGGAGGAATGGCTTCTACACTTTCCTCTTGTCATTAGGCCTAAGTCTCGATAGTTGCATTTCTGGGCCATGGATGTCTGAGAGAGAAATTTGTTTTCAGATGTTGGTGTGATGGGAGCTGTTGGCATGATGGGACGCAGGTTTCTGAGCAGCACAGGGGTCTTTGTTGGGCAGAATCAACCCGTCTCTGAATCTCCGTGTTAAATCCGGCTTCTGTAAAGATGAGAATGATGCAGGTAGTCCATAGCCAGTGAAGGTAGTCGCTTAGGTGTTCAGCCCAGCAAATAACTCTGACTGTAAGTGTTTAGGAGTGAGGCAGAATCTTTTGAATCCTTCTAGCCTGTTAATGTGCAGAGACTTCTTTTGTCAGACAGCTGCTGTCCCTGCAGTTTTTCCCCTGTTATCCCCAGCTGGGTAGTGGAACTGACTCTCTGTTACCTGAAATCCTTCGGCTGCCAGTTCGAGATATGCCACGGCTTTGATTTCTGATATCCAGGGGAAGGCTGCAGAAGGAGACTCATTCTTTTAGCTCATTTTATTTATTTTTAAAGGGTTTTTACCTTGCCTTTGTATTAAAGTACAATTTTAAAAAGAAAAGAAAACAACAACAGATCAGGTTGAAGCAAGAGAAGCGTAAGAGAGAGCCAGCAGTAAAGCACAATAAAATACTAAATTGCCAGGTTCAGACAGGGCCTAGGTATCATTTCTCTGGATCCAATAGAAACTTGTAATGCCCTTCCCTTGTCAAGAAAATGCAACTCCATCCCATACATACAATGAAATAATTTTTTAGTTATTTCTGAAATCACATAAACAGGACTATTAAATTTTTTTTTTATCAGACCTTTCCTCTGTTTCATGGTAACTGGTTTGCAGTCTGCCTCACCACCTTGAAGCCCCAGTAAATGTTACTGTTCCCCCTCTCCGATCTTAGTCCCTGGACTCAGATGTTAAAAGCACAGTTAACAGGATGGATGTGGCCTGGTGCCTGGAAAAGATGATTGGCTATGCCATCATGTGACTTCAAAGAGGGTGAGCATTCCATAGGGATGCCAGCCTCCAGGTGGGACCTGCGGATCCCCCGGAATTACAGCTCACCTCCAGACTGTGGAGATCAGTTCCCCTGGAGAAAATGGATGCTTTGGAGGGAGGACTCTATGGCATTGTACCCCACTGAGGTCCCTGTCCTCCCCAGGTTCCATCCCCAAATGTCCAGGAGTTTCCCCACCTGGATCTTACAACCTTACTTCCTTTCCCCCGCCAGTGGCCGGGGGGACATGGCAACCCTAGGTTCCATAACTTGGGTGCCACTGCAGAAAAAGGCAATTTCTCTAATAATGTCTCACTTAACCTATGAAGACGAGATAGTCGGAATATGATCTCAATGGAGGGGAAAGTTCATTTTGGTTGCAGCTTACTCACAAGATTCTTTAACAAAATACATTCACCAGTTGGAGGTTACATGCAGACACATTAACAATTACTCGTGAGGATTTGTTCAGCCTATGGTCTTTTGTATTGAGGAGTGTTGTACATTTTAATTCCTGGCTTCCGTCTGTCCCCTTTGCCTCTCCTCTAGCCTTCACCATGCAACATTAGTCCTCAGTTCCAGCCCCCTCCCCTTCCGCCTTGCATGTCCCAGTTTACCCCTACTCTAGCTTTAATAGAGCCTTCAAGCTTTCATCAGCATCGGTAGATAAATCAACTAACGCTGTTGTTGATTAATCAGTGGAGGCCAATTTTAATCCACGAGAGCCAGTTTTAATGGGTATAGCTGAGAGATAACTGCACTCACATTTATTTGTGTAGGTTGTTTTGGTTCTGGTGGGGTAATAGTGAATGAAACAAGATCCTGACCTTGGATCCCAAGCCTTGCTTCTGCGTGTGAAGATGGTCTTCTCCTGTGGAGTGTATTCCTCTGGCACTAAGTGCTTTCTGCTCTCTGAAATTTGGTCTTGCATGAGCAGAAACACCTAGCGCTGGAGAAATAGGCTCTGAAATGGACAAAGTGGAGTGTAAGCAGAGGCAATGCGTCAGAGCCAAGCCTTTCTCACCTATCATGACTTGTAAGTTCTGTTCAGGTGAGGTGTGGGTTTCCTTTTCTCCATAATTGCTATAGCAGGACTGGTGGAAATCTAAATATACAAAAAAGGGCCACGGTGTTCTGTAGCTAGTACAGAAAAGAATGCCACCGGGTTAAGAATAAGATACCAAATATTTATAGTGGTTATCTAACATACTGTAATCTTTCCCAATATTATTCTTACAAAGATATACAATTCTTAAAGAGACGGTACAAGACTCCAGAGGTAAGTATAAAGGTTGCTGAAGTCTGTTGTTGTTTTTTGTTCTTTTCTTCCAGATTCCTGAACAGATCCTCCAGCTTCCCAGGAACCAAAAATGCTACTGGTGTGGACGTGTTTTTGC